CTTACTGTCTAGTACAGCAGTGATTTCCAGATTTGGGATTTTTTCAGGCTTATAAAACTAAAAAAAGTCAGAGATTGAGAAAATGTAGTCAATCTTTAGTTTGGCCATATAAAGACATAAAAAAAGCAATGATAATCCTCTATCTCCAACATTTTGTGAAAGAATGCACATTTCAGTACTTGTTCTCCAACAAAGGAGGAGAACATCATAGCAGAATAAAGAACAGTCCTTCAAATCAAATACACTTAGTTTAATGAAAACTTACCCTTTCCCTCTTCATTTTTCTCACTTCACCAGGGTGTGATGAAAATAGTATCATCAATGCCTGTGGGCCTGTGGATCGGCCTCTGTGAAACTAAAAAGGTGTCCACAACATGCACCCACCCCTCAGCTTTCTCCTTATTCTGTCCCCTTTACTTCCTCCTCATTCTCAGGGTCTGCATAGAAAGAACCCAACAGAAGGTTATGGATGGGGGAAGAAAGGAAGAGAGTGTCTAAGAAGAAAGCTATCTTGCATTTTGGAAAGGTCTTCTATGGCAAGATTTTGGGTAGGCCTGAGAAACATAGTACATACCCCTTCTTCATCCAACTTATCTGTGCACTTCAAATTAGTGTCAAGAATGACCTTCATGGTCTGAGTGTACCCACCCAACGAGGCATGATGCAAAGCAGTCCAACCATGGTGGTCACTGTTAAAAAGTTAAGAAAAGATATGTGCATTCACTTTACAGATGAGATGTGGGAAGGGATAATACCCATTTGAGAAGTGGGTCTGATGAAATAAAGAAGCATATATGAGTTCTCACCACTAAATATTTATTACGTTTATAACAAATGAGCTAATTTCAAGCCTAATGATCTTAAATGATGTACCTACAATGTGATTCACACATGTACACATACACACAATTTTGTATCTGCATAAAAAATGGCAGCATGATGAAGTAAAATATGCAGCACTGTATTTCAAACATTCTGCGAACTACTCTGCACAAAGCTGTTTATTCTGTGACCTTGAACAAGTCTTCACCTCTATGGACCTTGATGTCTTCATTCGTCAACTGGAATACCAATGTCCCTTTCAATATTTGAGAAGTCATACATGTTTGCAGATTCAATGAGATGGATAAAAGCAACTAGATAGTAAGTTAGATATCATAATTAAAAGTAAAATAGAAAAACAGCCTGAAATGGCTAATTAAAAAGAATATATAAATATTCCCATCATATATGCTCACCTGAGAAATAATGCACCTTTTTTCAGAAGAAGTCGAACTACTTTATCATGCCCATTTTTTGCAGCCAAGTGGAGAGGAGTCATTCCATGAAGGTCACCTTCATTCAAAAGCCTTGTATCACTTACGTCTTGAAGGAGCCTCTGACAGGTATTGATACGCCCATAACTTGAAAGAATTAGATTTCATATTTTCAAAGCAAATATTAAATAAAAAGAAACATGTTCATATGTTGTATAAATTTACCCTTACCTGGCTGCAAAATGTAGGGGTGATTTCTTATCTTTGCTTTTGGAATGAATGGACACCTTAAAGTCAAGTAGGTTATTTACAGAGCCAGGGACCCCCTGTCTACATGCGTAATGTAGAGGAGTACACCCATCATTGTCTTCATCCATTACCAGCTCTTTAATATGTTGCATCTATGGGAAAAAAAATATTCTAAATATAACTCTGCTATCATGCTAATACAGTGTTTCTCAAACTATTCTCTAGAATAGTATTTTTCCAACAAGGGTCAATATATCTAACTTGAGGGCAAAATTTTAAGTTAGGGTATTAGGGAAAACTAAATATGGAAGAAAGTGCATGCTCTGTCTCCCTATAATATACGTTACCATACTAAAGGCTATGAGAAATCCTGAGAGTGGGAAATGTACTTAACATTTTTAACCCAGCATTTTCTAAACATATTTGGCTATAGCCCACCTCCTCACCCTTCCCTTCACTTTTTTCCCCCAAATCACACTTAAGAGCTTGATGCTAGTATGTTCTCTTAGGCAAATGGGATGAGAAGTTAAAATTAGGTTTACTTTATCTTTTAAATGAGTATTAAATTTAAAAAATGACAAATGAGCAACTGAATCCAATCAATAAACAAACATTTTGTTTCAAATATTCAAATCCAAATATATTTTTGATTCTTTAAGGGCACTGACAATATTAAAGTGTATTTATTATAAAATTGTGATACATTTCAGATACATCTACTAATCACTCAACAAATATTAGATGTTCACGACAAATAGGGAGATAATTTTTCAACCTGTCAACAAGTATGTTGTGTTTTTTTTAATTAATCAGAAACATTATTAATTCATACATATACTTGTCTTTTCCACTAACAAGCAATTCGTAACTGTCGAAGAGTAAAGGAAAGCTAACTTATTTATATATGGGAACTCTCTGTAACTGGGAAAATTCAATCCCAATGCAATTTATTGTAGTCATTATAATCACCACTATGTTATAAATAAATATTCAAATATGGTACATTTAAAAATAATTTTTAAAATCTAAAATTAACCTTCATAATAACAAAAATCATAATAAGCAAAATCACTTTACTCTCTGTTGAACTTAACTCAGTTTATGGAAATCCATACATATCTATTACCTGCATAAACTCAGGTTGCAAATTTTTTAATCCATAAGGCTGCTGTACAGTCAAATGCAAAAAATTTCGTCCAAGATGATCTTTTATGTCTACACAGGCACCTTAAAAAGCACAATATAAATATAACTTCTACTCATTTATATAAAGCATGGCCTATGGTAGATTTTCAATTTAAGAAAATAAATGATTTTGACTTAAAACTTTGCCAACCTTTAACCTACAGGAAATTAGACAAGAAAAGTAAATATATTTTAAATATATGTAAAGATGTATGTGTGTATGTGTAAATGAGGGGTAGAGAATATGTGATTTTTACATTAATCACCATGTGAAGTCTTACCTTTTAAAGCATCAAGTATAAAGATGGGGAAATTAAAGATCAAGACAGAAGAGGGGACAATAACTCTCTTCTTTGTTATCACATCAGGTTAGTATCTCAAATGAGGACAGGTATAGCAGCTATATCACATAGGATTAATAATTAAGAGAATGTAGATAAAGTGTTCAGTAAAATGTCTGGGAAATAATAATTGCTTTATAAATGTTATGTTATTGTTCTGAAACAATATTTTTAAGTACCACTCCCTTAGTGAACTAAAAATTACTCTAGACATGGGAAGTATTCTATTTATCTTTGTATTTATAGCACCTGGCCCAAAGCCTGGCCAACAGTAAATGGTTAGTAATGGGTAGTAAATGTTTATCTAACCAAATTGAGTAGTAATTCTAAAGACTTGGCTTGGTCCCTCATGGTACCTTTTGAGAGAAGCATATTTACGATATTCCAAGATGCAGAAGCAGTTGCTAATATAAGTGGAGAACGTCCTTCAGAATCGATGCTGTTAATATCTGCTCCCTAAAATAAAACATGTCATTCAACAAAGAGCTTATGATCAGACAAAACAGCTTGCAGTGCAATCTGTAAATAATATCAATTCATTGGAATAGAATATCCATAATATGGCCAGGACTCAAGCATGTAGCTAACTATGGAATTGCTTGAAATTTCCCTATAATTCATATGTTACAGCATTAGAAATCAAGGCATTCTTCTATAATTTCAACAACAAAAATTATTCACCCATGACAATGTTTTAATTGGCATCCGGCAATAGATCTATATTACTATGTAAATCGTAAAAACAAAATCCTTTGATCTATAGCAACAGTTTAATTTCTACTGTAAGATTTTTAAATTTCCACAATAAATATCTTTCAAATTTGTTGCATATTTGAGATAATGGCAGCAGTGCCCCCTGTGAAAGCCTGATGGCGGTGGGTGATTTTATGCTACAGTTCTCTTGCCAGGTGAGGAGATGAATGGCTGCATTCACAGGAAACCAGACATGACAAAACTATAGTAGATAATGAGTCTTCCCAGGATTCTTCTGTGTATATGTCACAATTTCAATAGCTGCTATTGACAGCAAACACATGTTGAATACTACAAATGGAATGACATTCATGGCTGAGATGTAGGGCTTAAATAAATACATTATGTATTCATCTGTATAAATAGCTTATTCAAATTTAATTCGAAAGCTGACTGCTAATTACACTTCTTAGTGTGAAAAAAGATCTTGTGCTTTCAATTGTGACAGACCTTGGACAATATGTTTAATTTCTCAGGTTTTCATTGTTTGAAAGCTGGCACTGAGGCCGCTGGGGTGGAAGCTTACAGTGCATGGTGAAGGTGATCTGTGCTGCCTGTCTCATCTCCACCTCAAAGCCACTTGCGCTGAAGAAGGGTCAAGAGAGTCTCAAGGCCTAACACTCTGCCAGGACCATTTTAAGAGGAGCTTCCCTTGCCATGTATCCACCAGCTCCCCATGCTAAAAACACTGAAACAGGTATCAAAAGTACATTTTGGGTACTTCTAATGTCATAGTAATGAAGTTTGGCCATTACATGTTCGTTCATACATATCTCATTCCATATTCATCCTTATCTATTTGCAGATGTGTCAGTCTTTTTTTGTTTTTTGTAAGCTTTTTAATGNTATTGCATATTAGTTTCCAAAAACAAATATCTTAGAAGGCTGTTGTTCAATTGCTTTATAACTCGTAGTCATGGAAAAAGATGCGTTCTCAAAAGATTACTTAGATCTCTTAGAAATTCATTCTTCAGACAATACTACCCAAGAAAATATAAAGACTAGAAACAACCCTAAATAATGGTATTAGAAACAGTTAAAATATTGAGGGAAAACCGAGGTTCTAAGGGGAAAATTCACAAGTAGATAACATAATATGACAAATGAAGACAATGATTACATCTTTTGATATTGTGGAACTCTACCATTATCTTTAATATTCTCTAAAGAATCATAATGAAATAAAGTTCAAATTACAATAATATGATCAACGTACGTGGTAGTCTCGGCAGGATTTGTCTTCTGTGGAGGGCATCATGCAGAAATCTAAAAGTTCCTTTGAGAAACAAATGGTAAAGATACTGAGCAGCAGACTAGATAGGAGAAAGAATTTGATCCCATTTCTAAATAACACCTAAGTCCCTTCCACTTCCTTTGCTTCTTGCACCTCAAAGATAAACTATAATCCATGTGATTCAGAAAGGTTTAAAATATAAAGTGTCACAACTACTACTGCATAACTCAGAAACAGCAAGTGCTCAGAAAAATATCATATACTTGAGAATGAACTTGCATTTACTAAAGTTTGAGTAAGAAATATTCCATTAGTTTTGCCTAAGATTCGATGTCTTTCTGGGCTTCTAAAGAATATGTAGGTTATTAAGGATTCTTTTGCTCAGCATATTAAGTGATACTTTATTGTCCTTGAGATTTTTCAGCTGAGAACTGGGGTCTTTCTTTGGTCCAGATCCCATGTTCTATACTGCTAAAGCCTGAGGGCTGTGTTTGCTTCTGTACTTGCCTGCTGAGCAAGACTGACAAAATATTCATCCATAGCAATGAGGACAGGATAGTCAGGGACTGATGTTATAGGGACAAATGTTGAAGGCCCTCTAGATACTTAACAAAGGGAGAGAATACTTACAGGGTCAGTAGAGCTGCCTCTAGGTTATGGGAGAACAAGTATCTTTGTGAGGTCCCCATCTACATAAATAATTTGAGTCCAAAATTCATGATCCCAAGAAAGAAACACTGCCCAATAAGGCTGCCTTCCTGGAAGCAGACCTGGACAAATGGCCCCAGATGACCCATCAGTGTGTCCCCCAGAGCTCCTCAGGCATCTAGTCTACCCCAGCTGCAGGATATAAAGGTAGAAGGTTGGGCCCTGAAGGGGAGAAACAGGCACCCAGGCCCCATCAGGAGGACATTACCATGTTACCTGGTCTCAAGCACCAGAGGGGCTTAAAATATTCCAAGGAAGTCTCTGTTGGTGACCAGGCAGTGGTACTAAGGGTCATACTGTCATCATGAATAATAAAGACAAAGCTCGTTCATAGTGCTGTGCCAGGCAGAACCAGAGTCAGGTCTGGTTGTTGCCGTTTGACAGCTTTGCAATGACCAGCACAGGCAGAGTAAGGTTTGGGCTGTCTTGGAAGAGGGGAGGATACAGGGGGAGTGGGAAGGATTATGTAAGTTACTCAGAAGTGTGATGTGAGCTACACTGAAAGACCTTTAAATTAATTCCCCTACTTAAAAATTTTTTTCACGATACTAAAACAATACAAAGTCATTATGGAAAACTAACTAGAAAAGAAAAGCCAATTGTAATTCCACAACTGTGATAATTCTTATTAACATTTTGGTATAATTTCTTCAATTCTTCCTACGTTTTCCATATGTGAATATGACTAACATTTTTTTTTTACTATTATTAAATGCTGCAGGAAATGCCATTGTATATATATCTGTCTGTACCTCTAATCGTTCATTAGGAAAGATTCCAAAAACTGCAATTATTGAGTAAGAAAACCTAAGATCATTTCAATTCTGAATATTTGTGTGCCCTTTGATGAAATTTATACATCTAAAATGTTAATCTATGATCTGGACTGGCTCCAATTTCCATTAGCTATTAGACAGAAAAAAATGAAGCTCTCAGCACATGCTAAGTGCTTACTGAATAAATAAAAGTGTTAGCAGTACTAATAACCACATAAGCAGCATTAAAGCAGTAGGAGGTATAACATGGCCAACCCACTATCCTGAACATTTTATATATTGAGACTAACTTTCATAATCACTTTGTAAGAGGAGTACTAACATCATTGTTTCAGAGATACAGAAAACAGAAAATAAATCTCAGGAGGCGAAATAACTTGCCTAAAGCAGCACAGCAAGAGGCGGAACCAGGACTAAATGCCAGAGCCACCAGGGTCCAAATCTGGCCCTTTAGTTTATGGTACTATGTCTCCCTGCCTCTCCCAGTATTTGAATATGTTGTTCCCTATGAATGATATTTGAAGTCATTCCTCTTTTCTTGACTTTTCTAGGTCTATCCCAATCCTCAAATCTCAACTTTCCCAGGAGGTCTTTTATCCATGTCCTTTAACAAACATGTACTCAACAGTTTGTGGGTGTTTCTCTTGTAGTGTGCCCCTAGTCACGTGCTGGATGTGTGTTTAATCTAGCACAGAAACTCTCACATCCGGAGACTCACAGAGGGCAGGCAGGTAGTGTAAATGAGTGAACTGAGCCAGCCTTTAAGAGCTCTTTCCCATTGTTCTTGAAATGCTGGCTCTCCTTGGGCTGGTTGTCATCTTCACAGTTTGGATAGAGGCATCTGGAGGGAATTCTCTCGCTAGTGCAAGAAAAGCAATTGCACAAAAATGACAATACATGGCAACTAATACTACGCATTAGTGCGTACAAAGAAGGAAGAGGGGGTCTGTGCCAATGGGAGAGTGCTTGGCCCACCTAAAGGAAGCAGCTGCTACTTGGTCAGCGACACCTGCCTTGTGAAAAGATAGGCTCAGTCACCAGACCTTCTCATTTTTTACAGGAAGCCAGATATCTAGATCCTTAAGGGAAGCATCTGGTTTTAAATGTTACCTACTAATGTAAATTTTAAACAATAATATGCATGCCAAAAAAAAAACACATCTAGAGGCTTTATTCAGCCAGCAGCCACTAACAGTAGTCCCTGCTCTAGTCTTGAATGATTTGGATAAAAAATATCTGTCGACCATATTTCCTATGTTCCACATAACAACTAATAGGATTCATTAACCCAAGTAAGTCCTTATTAAATAACTAACTTCCCTTGTTAACCTCCTTCATAGATGGTTATGGAAAACTAGAAACTTTATGTGAAGGTGGAAACTACTATTATGCAAGTTGTGATTACAATAATAAAATTTCAATTATATTACATGCCAATCATGTGCCCAGAAGGAGTTTTGTTTAGAGAGCTTACTTTCATGCATTCAGGGAGGTATTCTACCATCTCCATGATTGGACACTTATTGCTTGAAGAATGATGACTGAAAACTGTATAACAGTCTTCCCATCTATAAAAATTGAAAAAAAGAATAAAACAAATACAAGTCTTAATCCTTCCATTCAGTGCAACAACAAAGCTATCAGCTAAAATTCAAGATTACATCCTTAGGAGAAACCTGAATTGGTTCCAGTGGAACCAATATGTAAACCAGCAATCAACCCATTAACAGCATTTTTGCTCATTAATTGAAATTAGAAATGAGGACAAATTCCAGCATGGCTGTTATAGTCACTGTTCTCTTTCTCTAACTGCCTTCTAAAGAAGTAGGCTTTTAACTTTTTTTCTTCCTGAAATCATGAACTAATATGAGCTGGTCACATTGGGTGAAGCTATCTGCATTCACATATATACAACAGCAACATGACACTAAGAACATATTTAACATTTAATCAATGTATATAACAAATGTTGAATTATCTACAAAATAGCATGTATCAAGCCCATAAATAAGCATGGGTTCTGCTAGAATATTGCAGGGTCTGCCCCTCTCTTCATTGCCATCTATTTGGACAGGATAAGAAGATGCTAATGATAACAAAGAGGAAATAAATCTACAACAGGAAGTAAAGAAGAGCCCATTTATTTCCAAGATCCTATCTATGTCATAGGACACTAGTTCTAAAACCTACGCAAGTTTTCTGTTAACACTATCAGTAAAATCAGCAAAATCTAGAACATACGCATAATCAGTAGAAAACTTCTGGTTGAACCATTGTGCTGACTGGTGTTTCAAAAGAATGCTCAGCAGGTGGATCTTGAGACTGCCTTGCTCACACACACAGGCTTGATCTGCCTCGAATATGAGATTGCTCACCTCTGTGTCCACTGTTAGGTGACACTGGGCCATTGTACATATCTATTCATGATTATATACAAAAATTTATGTAGAAGAAGAGGGACAAACTACCCTCCAACTTCATCATTTAAACTCCTTAGAGTATGGCTTAAAAACCCACAGCCACAAAAGATCATGTGTTAAGGTGATGAAACTAGTAACGCTTAACTAGTAACTACCCCATCAGGCTGCCCTCCTGGAAACAAATCTGGACAAATGGCCCCAGATACCCATCAGTGTGTCCCCCCAGAGCCCCTGAGGCATCTGGTCTACCCCACCTGCAGGATAATAACTAAAACTGATTTACCTTGGAGAATATTTCTGCTAACCTCCAGTTCTGGGGTTTCTTTGGCAAGAGAGAGTAGAGTGTTGGGCAAATTCAGAGAGGGCAGGACAGAGCTTGCCTTACAATTACCGTGGGGCCAGATGCTGCACAGGTCTGAGCCCCATGAGCCCAAGAGTGCTCTGAAGGTGCCTATGCTCCCACAACTTAGAAGGGGAAGTGAAGATCATTTGTCTGTTGTCACCCAAGAAGTTCCTTAAGATTTTTATGTAAGCAACTGCTGTTTTTAAAATGGTGATTAGTAGCTGAAATTTATTTTTTCTTCCTGTTTCTTCTCAGGTTCTGAATCATCCTTCACTCAGAAGACACTAAAGGACAGTGGACAGGAAGACAGCATACCTTCTGCTCCTGATGGTCGTAAGAACCACCTCCTTCCTCTTATTGTGAATTGCAACATGCAAAAAGGAGGCCTGCTGCTTGTTCAAGACAATGTTGGCATTGTAGCTCAGAAGAAGTGCAACAGCTCTGGCATGGCCTTCCCTTGCCGCAAAGTGAAGTGCAGTATTCTTTTAGAAAAAAACAGGACAAGGAAAATCCAGTGACAATGGCTAATTGTCCTTCAGCTATTTAACTGTTTTGTCTCATTGTTGAACTGCTTGAAAGAAATTATTAACAAAACTAACCACTTAATATCAAAATACTTAAAATTTAAAACTAGTTTCCAGAATCAATCTTCAAAATAATGTTTGTATTTCAAATGTGGTGTGTATGTGGGTGTAAGGTGGGGGGTTTGTGAACATATGTGGTTTCCAAGTGGTTTGTTTTGCTTTGTTTTTGTGGTAGGACTCCACAAGCACAAACGGACAAGCCTTAAGGGTCAGGACACTGGAACAAACACAGAAGAAAATACTTTTGGAAGCCTTACTGTCTAGTACAGCAGTGATTTCCAGATTTGGGATTTTTTCAGGCTTATAAAACTAAAAAAAGTCAGAGATTGAGAAAATGTAGTCAATCTTTAGTTTGGCCATATAAAGACATAAAAAAAGCAATGATAATCCTCTATCTCCAACATTTTGTGAAAGAATGCACATTTCAGTACTTGTTCTCCAACAAAGGAGGAGAACATCATAGCAGAATAAAGAACAGTCCTTCAAATCAAATACACTTAGTTTAATGAAAACTTACCCTTTCCCTCTTCATTTTTCTCACTTCACCAGGGTGTGATGAAAATAGTATCATCAATGCCTGTGGGCCTGTGGATCGGCCTCTGTGAAACTAAAAAGGTGTCCACAACATGCACCCACCCCTCAGCTTTCTCCTTATTCTGTCCCCTTTACTTCCTCCTCATTCTCAGGGTCTGCATAGAAAGAACCCAACAGAAGGTTATGGATGGGGGAAGAAAGGAAGAGAGTGTCTAAGAAGAAAGCTATCTTGCATTTTGGAAAGGTCTTCTATGGCAAGATTTTGGGTAGGCCTGAGAAACATAGTACATACCCCTTCTTCATCCAACTTATCTGTGCACTTCAAATTAGTGTCAAGAATGACCTTCATGGTCTGAGTGTACCCACCCAACGAGGCATGATGCAAAGCAGTCCAACCATGGTGGTCACTGTTAAAAAGTTAAGAAAAGATATGTGCATTCACTTTACAGATGAGATGTGGGAAGGGATAATACCCATTTGAGAAGTGGGTCTGATGAAATAAAGAAGCATATATGAGTTCTCACCACTAAATATTTATTACGTTTATAACAAATGAGCTAATTTCAAGCCTAATGATCTTAAATGATGTACCTACAATGTGATTCACACATGTACACATACACACAATTTTGTATCTGCATAAAAAATGGCAGCATGATGAAGTAAAATATGCAGCACTGTATTTCAAACATTCTGCGAACTACTCTGCACAAAGCTGTTTATTCTGTGACCTTGAACAAGTCTTCACCTCTATGGACCTTGATGTCTTCATTCGTCAACTGGAATACCAATGTCCCTTTCAATATTTGAGAAGTCATACATGTTTGCAGATTCAATGAGATGGATAAAAGCAACTAGATAGTAAGTTAGATATCATAATTAAAAGTAAAATAGAAAAACAGCCTGAAATGGCTAATTAAAAAGAATATATAAATATTCCCATCATATATGCTCACCTGAGAAATAATGCACCTTTTTTCAGAAGAAGTCGAACTACTTTATCATGCCCATTTTTTGCAGCCAAGTGGAGAGGAGTCATTCCATGAAGGTCACCTTCATTCAAAAGCCTTGTATCACTTACGTCTTGAAGGAGCCTCTGACAGGTATTGATACGCCCATAACTTGAAAGAATTAGATTTCATATTTTCAAAGCAAATATTAAATAAAAAGAAACATGTTCATATGTTGTATAAATTTACCCTTACCTGGCTGCAAAATGTAGGGGTGATTTCTTATCTTTGCTTTTGGAATGAATGGACACCTTAAAGTCAAGTAGGTTATTTACAGAGCCAGGGACCCCCTGTCTACATGCGTAATGTAGAGGAGTACACCCATCATTGTCTTCATCCATTACCAGCTCTTTAATATGTTGCATCTATGGGAAAAAAAATATTCTAAATATAACTCTGCTATCATGCTAATACAGTGTTTCTCAAACTATTCTCTAGAATAGTATTTTTCCAACAAGGGTCAATATATCTAACTTGAGGGCAAAATTTTAAGTTAGGGTATTAGGGAAAACTAAATATGGAAGAAAGTGCATGCTCTGTCTCCCTATAATATACGTTACCATACTAAAGGCTATGAGAAATCCTGAGAGTGGGAAATGTACTTAACATTTTTAACCCAGCATTTTCTAAACATATTTGGCTATAGCCCACCTCCTCACCCTTCCCTTCACTTTTTTCCCCCAAATCACACTTAAGAGCTTGATGCTAGTATGTTCTCTTAGGCAAATGGGATGAGAAGTTAAAATTAGGTTTACTTTATCTTTTAAATGAGTATTAAATTTAAAAAATGACAAATGAGCAACTGAATCCAATCAATAAACAAACATTTTGTTTCAAATATTCAAATCCAAATATATTTTTGATTCTTTAAGGGCACTGACAATATTAAAGTGTATTTATTATAAAATTGTGATACATTTCAGATACATCTACTAATCACTCAACAAATATTAGATGTTCACGACAAATAGGGAGATAATTTTTCAACCTGTCAACAAGTATGTTGTGTTTTTTTTAATTAATCAGAAACATTATTAATTCATACATATACTTGTCTTTTCCACTAACAAGCAATTCGTAACTGTCGAAGAGTAAAGGAAAGCTAACTTATTTATATATGGGAACTCTCTGTAACTGGGAAAATTCAATCCCAATGCAATTTATTGTAGTCATTATAATCACCACTATGTTATAAATAAATATTCAAATATGGTACATTTAAAAATAATTTTTAAAATCTAAAATTAACCTTCATAATAACAAAAATCATAATAAGCAAAATCACTTTACTCTCTGTTGAACTTAACTCAGTTTATGGAAATCCATACATATCTATTACCTGCATAAACTCAGGTTGCAAATTTTTTAATCCATAAGGCTGCTGTACAGTCAAATGCAAAAAATTTCGTCCAAGATGATCTTTTATGTCTACACAGGCACCTTAAAAAGCACAATATAAATATAACTTCTACTCATTTATATAAAGCATGGCCTATGGTAGATTTTCAATTTAAGAAAATAAATGATTTTGACTTAAAACTTTGCCAACCTTTAACCTACAGGAAATTAGACAAGAAAAGTAAATATATTTTAAATATATGTAAAGATGTATGTGTGTATGTGTAAATGAGGGGTAGAGAATATGTGATTTTTACATTAATCACCATGTGAAGTCTTACCTTTTAAAGCATCAAGTATAAAGATGGGGAAATTAAAGATCAAGACAGAAGAGGGGACAATAACTCTCTTCTTTGTTATCACATCAGGTTAGTATCTCAAATGAGGACAGGTATAGCAGCTATATCACATAGGATTAATAATTAAGAGAATGTAGATAAAGTGTTCAGTAAAATGTCTGGGAAATAATAATTGCTTTATAAATGTTATGTTATTGTTCTGAAACAATATTTTTAAGTACCACTCCCTTAGTGAACTAAAAATTACTCTAGACATGGGAAGTATTCTATTTATCTTTGTATTTATAGCACCTGGCCCAAAGCCTGGCCAACAGTAAATGGTTAGTAATGGGTAGTAAATGTTTATCTAACCAAATTGAGTAGTAATTCTAAAGACTTGGCTTGGTCCCTCATGGTACCTTTTGAGAGAAGCATATTTACGATATTCCAAGATGCAGAAGCAGTTGCTAATATAAGTGGAGAACGTCCTTCAGAATCGATGCTGTTAATATCTGCTCCCTAAAATAAAACATGTCATTCAACAAAGAGCTTATGATCAGACAAAACAGCTTGCAGTGCAATCTGTAAATAATATCAATTCATTGGAATAGAATATCCATAATATGGCCAGGACTCAAGCATGTAGCTAACTATGGAATTGCTTGAAATTTCCCTATAATTCATATGTTACAGCATTAGAAATCAAGGCATTCTTCTATAATTTCAACAACAAAAATTATTCACCCATGACAATGTTTTAATTGGCATCCGGCAATAGATCTATATTACTATGTAAATCGTAAAAACAAAATCCTTTGATCTATAGCAACAGTTTAATTTCTACTGTAAGATTTTTAAATTTCCACAATAAATATCTTTCAAATTTGTTGCATATTTGAGATAATGGCAGCAGTGCCCCCTGTGAAAGCCTGATGGCGGTGGGTGATTTTATGCTACAGTTCTCTTGCCAGGTGAGGAGATGAATGGCTGCATTCACAGGAAACCAGACATGACAAAACTATAGTAGATAATGAGTCTTCCCAGGATTCTTCTGTGTATATGTCACAATTTCAATAGCTGCTATTGACAGCAAACACATGTTGAATACTACAAATGGAATGACATTCATGGCTGAGATGTAGGGCTTAAATAAATACATTATGTATTCATCTGTATAAATAGCTTATTCAAATTTAATTCGAAAGCTGACTGCTAATTACACTTCTTAGTGTGAAAAAAGATCTTGTGCTTTCAATTGTGACAGACCTTGGACAATATGTTTAATTTCTCAGGTTTTCATTGTTTGAAAGCTGGCACTGAGGCCGCTGGGGTGGAAGCTTACAGTGCATGGTGAAGGTGATCTGTGCTGCCTGTCTCATCTCCACCTCAAAGCCACTTGCGCTGAAGAAGGGTCAAGAGAGTCTCAAGGCCTAACACTCTGCCAGGACCATTTTAAGAGGAGCTTCCCTTGCCATGTATCCACCAGCTCCCCATGCTAAAAACACTGAAACAGGTATCAAAAGTACATTTTGGGTACTTCTAATGTCATAGTAATGAAGTTTGGCCATTACATGTTCGTTCATACATATCTCATTCCATATTCATCCTTATCTATTTGCAGATGTGTCAGTCTTTTTTTGTTTTTTGTAAGCTTTTTAATGCTAAACAAAAAAATTAAGATTTATTTTTGAAAATTATATGATGTAATTATATAATTTTTCAACTGTACATAGTAATTTTAAAAACCTGTCAATGGAATAGTTACCACTGAAATTAAGTAGTCTGCTAGTTCATGGTGATCAAATAATGAGGCTCTGCAAAAGAGAAATATAAGCATATTAAGATACTATTGATATAAATAGATTAAATGAAGCTACTATACTTGGAAAGTCAATTTAAATATCGTTTAATAACAATAAAATGCAAAAGAATTAATAACCTTTCAAAATCCATAACTGAATATGATCAGAGTAATATTTTCAAAGTAATAATAATAAAGATCAAATATATCACAGGATTTTCTTCTTCATCTTTTAGTAACTTATTTCTCCATATAAAGATATCATGAAGAAGTTCTGAAGTGAGTAGTAACATCTGTCCTAAGAGCTTAAAATAAAAGACAGAAGAACTGGCTGTCACCACGCTGACCATGGGGAGTAACAGCAGCTGCCTGCAAGATGTGCCTACAATTCATCTGCAGCCTTCAAAACACCCACTTCGCTGCAAGTTAACAAGGCAGTGATAGCTTTCCTAAGGTTTTATAAAGACAAAGACAAAGTATGGGGAGAATTGAAATCACTTTGGTATTATTTCACAGTCAGTCATAGTATAACATCAATTCATAGAACAAATAAAAATTTCCTATCTATATTAAAACATCAACATATGTTAATACTAGGTCTGGAACTCCATTCCCCTTAACCCAAAGCCCACTGTTTCACCAGAACACTGTGCTGAAGTCTTTACACTACATTAATAAAAGAAATTCTAGCCCAAAGAGCGAACTTCCCTTTGAAGCTTAAGGTAAACTCCAAATGTCACTGGCTTTTAGAAGGACATTCCAAGATTTTAGATCAGTATTAAGTTAATCAGAATTGGACTAAACTGGTCCAAGAAACTTTAGTCAATTGAAATTGAGTACATCCAACAGGAGTGGCTACCAGGCTAACGATACTTATGGGTCAAGTAAATGGGTCTATTTTCCTAAAATAATTCTTTCTTATGCATATTGGTCTATTAAAACTGTGTTGTATATGGGCATATTTAAACCATACCCAGATCATTGGGTTTGTAACTAGGTTTGAAAATACGGCTATCACTGAAAGAGTTTTTTAAAAATTCCTGACACCCATCCCAAAGATTCTGATGTAATCTGGGATATGAATTGGCTTTGGAATTTCATGAACTCCCCACATGATTCTGATGTGCAAAATCTCCAGCCTTTGTTTTAATTTAATTGCTGCTTTTTTTTTGCCATTTCTACAGTTTCTAACTGGATCTTTTTTATATCACCAATTTTAATTCATAAAGTCCAATTTGTTTTTCATAATCTGGTATCTTAATCTACTTCTTTTTACCTGATTATTCCTTCTTTAAACTTGTGAACATCTTAAAGAGCCTTATTTTAAAATTATTTACAGATTGCCCTAATTTTTCTATTTTCTTGAAAGTAAACTAGCCTTTTATTGATTTTGTATTTTTTTTTATAAGTTTTCCTTTATGCCATGAAAGTTCAGTTAGCAAACTCATCTTCAGTGGGAGGTTCTTTTCTATTCACTCAGAACCCAGTGTGGCTTGTGGTTTTGCTAACATGTACATTCATCCTCCATATCCCCAGTCTCGCTAGTTTCCTTTTTCCTGAGGGATATTGTGGATTTCCAGGTCCATTCATATATTGGGAATATCTCAGCTCTTTTCTGCCATTCCAGGTTTCCAGTATGCTCACAGCTGTGTGTGTGTGTGTGTATGAGAGAGACAGAGAGAGAGAGAGAGAGAGAGAGAGAGAGAGAGAGAGAGAGAGAGAGAGAGAGAGAGAGGGAGACAGAGAGAGAGAGAAGGCTCATTTCAGCTACCCTTCACATACAAGAACTCCCCACATGATTCTGATGTGCAAAATCTCCAGCCTTTGTTTTAATTTAATTGCTGCTTTTTTTTTGCCATTTCTACAGTTTCTAACTGGATCTTTTTTATATCACCAATTTTAATTCATAAAGTCCAATTTGTTTTTCATAATCTGGTATCTTAATCTACTTCTTTTTACCTGATTATTCCTTCTTTAAACTTGTGAACATCTTAAAGAGCCTTATTTTAAAATTATTTACAGATTGCCCTAATTTTTCTATTTTCTTGAAAGTAAACTAGCCTTTTATTGATTTTGTATTTTTTTTTATAAGTTTTCCTTTATGCCATGAAAGTTCAGTTAGCAAACTCATCTTCAGTGGGAGGTTCTTTTCTATTCACTCAGAACCCAGTGTGGCTTGTGGTTTTGCTAACATGTACATTCATCCTCCATATCCCCAGTCTCGCTAGTTTCCTTTTTCCTGAGGGATATTGTGGATTTCCAGGTCCATTCATATATTGGGAATATCTCAGCTCTTTTCTGCCATTCCAGGTTTCCAGTATGCTCACAGCTGTGTGTGTGTGTGTGTATGAGAGAGAGAGAGAGAGAGAGAGAGAGAGAGAGAGAGAGAGAGAGAGAGAGAGAGAGAGAGAGCTGGAGGGAGACAGAGAGACAGAGAAGGCTCATTTCAGCTACCCTTCACATACACTAATCCTGGTCTTCCTAAAGGAATTGAACTCCATCTACACTCTTGTTTCCTGTCCTAGCATCTACTGAGTTTACAGTTTCAGATTATTTTTTCCCCGATGTATATTTCTGTTAAGCTCCACAGAAACATTTATCTGGCTTGGAGCTTGGCTATCATTTCTTAAAACTATGTCTTGAAAACATGTATATGTAATTGTGGGGTGGGTGGAAAGGGGAATAGGATGGGAAAAGTGAAACATCTATATGTGTCTGCTCCATTAGCTTCACTAAAAGGAAGGATAAAACACACATGAGGAAATACAGCAGATTAGAAAGGGCTTGAAAAGTCATGTATGTTGACCTCCTGCACGTAAAATAAATTAATCTTGAGCCTGTATCCACTGGACTAAGCACTGATTCAGAATATAACTCCAAAGATTTTATTCTAAGAAAATCTATTTAATTTTCTACTTTAATTCCAGAGGACCATAGAAATTCCACTTGAACCACAGAATCTTTGTTATCTCTGTTCTTTTCTTTTGAACTGTAGAATCTCTGCTTCTACAATGCTAACTTTTTCTTGCAGAGTACTATTTAACACGTGAAGACTAAAAATCCATACACAGAATGGTACATAGGAAACTTGCCTGTGAAGCAGTGTCTCCTGATTTCCATCCACAATGTTAACAATATCGCTGCTACCAGAATAGGAGGATATCATCAATTTAACAATTTCAGTGGCTCCCTGGGTGGCAGCAAAATGAAGGGCTGTGCACTTCCCATTCTGTAAAGAGTTTTGCTATCAGAATCAATTGGTCAAAGTCCCAGTTTAAGGATATAACCTAAAATTTATCTGTGAGTTTTCCTTTCCAGGGAAAAAAAATCAAGCATCAATATAAGAATCATAGGTAGCAATTTTGCTTCCTTGAAATCTGACAGCTCTTGACAGCTCTGACAGTACTTCTGCTACAAGCATTTTCAGTATCATTGTTTTTATTGCATTTGTATTTGTGTTTGCAGGTTTTTTTTGGTAGCTCTCAAAATCCTTGGGATAGTCTCAAATCCGGGATATTCTCTTGTTCTGTTTCTACATGAACAGCAGGAAATAACATCTATTTCAACCTAAATTAATGGTAAAAAAGCTATAAGGCTTTTTGGAAAATAACGTATGATAATTCTAAATAAACGTATCATGTGGCATGTGAACAGTTACCTCCATCAAGTCCAACTGTGCACCATTGTCAAGGCATATTTTAATCATTTCCAAGTCACCACTTTGAACTGCCATGTGGAGAGGGCTGACTTTCCCATTATTCACAAAGTTAATATGAGACTGTATGCTATATCCATTTTCTTCACCTTTAGAAGAAAAAAATTTCAAGATAATAAATATAATAAATAGATGAAATAATTTTTTAAAAAAGAAAGAACATTTAGGCTTACATAAAAGCCCAAGTATAAACTCTATTAAATACTTTTCAAATTAGTAGCATTCACCAGATTAGGCTCCTTTATTGTGTAATGTCAGAAAGCCTCTACTCACCAAACTTTAGTAATATTTCCATGCATTTTTTGGCACCCGAAAATGCAGCCTGGTGAATAGGGAAACATCCCCATTTATTTGATCTACATGGCTTAGCGCCTTTAGTTAACTGGAGGAAAATAAAGAATAAATAAAAAATTAAATGATACAAGTTAAACCACAAATTACAAGAATGAAAAATAATTAATATGCCTTTCCCAGAACGTTTCATTACTCTGTTTCTTTGTAAAATTATATAAAAAAGCTTCATAGGTTAAGAAATCTAGGCAAGATGGTAATTTTGGAACTAAGGGAAAATTCTGAGTTAGAGACACTATATTTCCCAAATATGAAGAAACAATGTAGATACAAAATAGTCAATCTTTATACCCCAACAAACAAATGCCACACATATTTCAATGGATATGAGATTTTAAAAAATATTATCATGACTCCTGTTACATCCATTCCCAATTCCTTATACAAATAAATAATTTCCAGATTCTTTTCCTTACATTTATATAAATTAATGAATGATTAGACCAGCACTCTTTAAACTATAAAAAACAGGTATTTTCACTAATGGAAGTTGTCTACTAAAAGTATGTTCGAAGAACTCAATCATATAATACTTGACCTCTAAGTCAATCATTTTCAACTATCATTTTTTATAGATCATTGGACTTCAGTTTTGTCTTAAATATCTTTTATTTTCACATACACACACACACAAAAGCAGAAAAGTGTGGAGAAGTAAATATTACCTGTAATCTTGCCTTCTAGGGACAGCATTGGTTTACATTTTAGAAGACAATTTATTTGTCTTATTTCCTTGCAAAGGTAATTACTATGTGAATACTGTGTAATCATATTATCCAAAAAGATTTAACTTAACAATATCCTTTAAAAGTGTGATCTTATTAAGTACATATTCCATTTTGGGGAACACAAAACTATACAATGAATCCCTATTATAGAACTTTTTTTCAATTTCCTCTCTCTGATATACATAACATTGATATTAATATCATTAATAGCTTTAATTATCTCAAGATGTATTCCAAGAATTGGATTTGGTGACTCAAAAAGTATTTACATCTGCGGTGAAGGAAATTCCTCGACTGATCAAAATTTCTCTAACACTGAATATCATCAAGTTTTTTTCATCCTTCCAATTTAAGAGATGAAAAAATGATATCTCATTTTAACATGTTTTTTCTTTGACTATTATAGAAATTAATTAAGCTTTCTCTGTTCCCTGCCAATATTCTATGGAACAAAGTCTGTGTTTTCCTCATACATTTATAAGAATACTTTATAAATTTATATCCCTTTAAAAATAAATAGGTGGATCTAATCATATGCTTTGTCTGCACAGGCTAAATGATGTGCTATAATCTGACAGTAATCTGTATATTCCCTAGGTAAAACTGACATGGTATTGCTTGTTATTCTTTTTAATTATTTCAATAAATTTGCTAGGATTATTCGGATTTTGCACCTATATTTGTATGTAAAATTGTCCTACATTTTTATTTCAAGGGAATTGTCAGATTTTGGAATTATCTTTGATTCTTAAAATTAATCTGGATATTTTCACTCTTTTCTTGAATTAAGAGAGTTTTCCTGAAATGGAAACTTTTACCCTGCAAGTCTGCAAGAACTTGTAAAACTTATAAAAGCTTATAATATTAACTGCCTCCAGAGCTTAGATAATACATATATATTTTTTAAACACTTCATGGTTCCCTAGAGGTCCTTAATTTTTTAGTTAATTTTGAAACTTTAATTACCTTCCAGTATTTAGCTATTAAAAAAGGATTTTCCAATTTTTTTAGGATAGGATTGTGCATACTAAACTTTGGTCATTTAAAAATTCTCCATCATATCCAGGTAAATCCCTTTGTTATTTCTAATTTTGCTGATTTGTGTATTGTCTTTTTCTTTTGTAGTTAGACTTGCCAATACTAAATCTATTTTATTATCTTTTCCAAAGAAATCTCATCATCTATCAAATAATTTCAAATTTATTATTTTTTTTCAACTTTTACCATTTCTTTATTCCAATTTTCTTTTGGTTTATTTGAGGCTCTTTTCCTAAGTTCTTAGAGTGTTAGCTCATTATTTTCTTTGATTTTATTAAGTACATTTTCCATTTTGGTCCAATCATGACAGTTTATATGTATTTTTGCCAAGATATCTAGTAAATACAGTAGAAAATATTTGTCAATTTAAATATCAAGATATTTAAAATGAATTAAAAATCTTTTATTTCATTTTCCTATCCTCTGGAATGGTGGAGAGGGGAAATCAAATGGCAAAAAGATAGAACATGACCTGAAAAACATACAAGTCATTAAGGAATATTTAAAAGAAAGCTATTTACTGGAATTCTAGTGTCACTCTCAGAAAGGGCGCTACACAGGACAGGAGTCAGTCATTTGGATGGGCACCTCCAGAGTTTCTGTGGGCCACCCAGGAATCCCACCACAGAGAGCAGGCTGACTCTATTTTTAGGTGTGTAGCTAAAGATCCTGGACGTGGTATCACACAGGGTTCCCTTTCTGAGAACCCATGGCAGCAATTTCCTCTCATCTTGGGAATATGAATGGCTATTTCTCTTGGCTTTTATTTCATGGGCCCAGTAAGTCTGCACTTGACTGTATTTATCTTTCCTTGACTATACCAAAGCTCAGTCAGAAGTATGATCCACTTTTATTAACATGCAGATTGCTTACACTTTGTGTATTTTGTATCCTAGCTTGACCACCAGTTTCAGATTAATTTTTCCTGTCTATATTTTCTTTTCACTTTGATCTTCTCACATTTTCTTTAATGCATAGAACTTTTTTCTGACATATTTTCTGCATTGTGTATTTTGTTAAGAAGAGAAACTGAAAGCTGTTGTAAATAACAATAATTCATGGTGTACTAAAGAAAAGATAAAGAAAACAGAAAAACTGTGACAAAAATACAAACCAAAATTTGCAGTGCTTCACTATTATCTTTGGAGCATGCAATCATCACAGCTGTGTTTCCACTTTCTCCTTCCAAATTAATATTAGTATTGCTGTGCTCGGTCAAGACCTACACAGAAGAGGGAAAAATTGTCAAAAAGTTAACATGGGTTTCCAAGTAGGGTATTTGTCTTCTACTAGATAATAAACTGTTGGAGCCATGGACTATGTCCTTATTTATGTTTTTTCATCCCACTCCCACAGAATCTGACACAAAACCTTGCATGTAGTAGGTACTACATAAATTTCTCAGGTAGATGAAATAATGGTGATTTCTATATCACATCAATTAGGGCAAAATAAAGTTTTGGAACTGGAAACAGAATAAGAATTGTAGGTATTAGTTAACATAGCTCATGTACTACCTCCCAATTGCTTTGAGCTATATTAACTCATATCTTCAAGAAAATAAATTTGTGGAGCCATTTGGAAAATGGTAGAGGAGGAGGAAGTGAGGTGGGGGTAAGGGACAGAGGAAGAGGGAGGGAAGGGATTTTTCTCTCCTCTAGTCATTTTTTTTTCTTTATCATTTCTTTACCTCAGTTGCAAGGACTCTGAGAAATGTCAATTAAAACTCCACTCTCTTCAGTAGAGAAAAAAATGTTCCACGTAACACTGATAAAGCCTAACTCAACTAATTTAAACTTATTCCAGAACAGAAACATTTTCTTTGATGTAATAAACTAGCATTCCTGATAAAATGGTTAAGCTATTTTCCTTATGGAATTTAGTTGAAGACCAGTTATCCACTTCCTTCACCTGGTTGAATTGCAGCTGATCACTGGCCAAGAATCTATAGATATTTAACCAGTCTTCATTTTATACTAAATCTAACAATAATTACCTTATATAAATGTCTCTAGTGAGACAGAAATCTTTGAATTGGCCTAGTAGAGACATATCCTTTTGCAGTAAGACTATGATAAAACTATAACATGTGCTTAAAATTAAATTGTGTAAAAAGGATTTATTAAGCAAGCTATTTCCTAAAAGTAATGGGCATACAGAGACCCTTATTAATAGAATGTGCCCTGATGTGTCAGCAAATGAATTTAGCTTCACTACCTCTGCTCATAAAAGAAAATTAACTATTTTAGTACATGAGAACACATGAGATTATTGATGTTTGAAGGAAAAGGAGAACACAAGTTTCATTTGATGAACTTCAGGTAGTTTCACATTTTGCTCTTAACAAACTCTAGATTCATATGTAAAGTAACCTACCCAAGTCTGTAAAAAGAGATTTTTCTCTTTGTCTTCTTAGATCAGAGATTCACAGCATTTTATTAGGGTGTTGTTTATAACCATAAACATAATCTTTTATAAAACGGTGCTAAATCATATGTGGCAGGGGGCCTAGTGAGAGCAACTAAACTGTGCACGAAGTGCAGATTCAGCGGTGACCAGGCAGGTCTGCAGGCTTGCAGGCGAGGCCTCCAGAGATCCCTCTCATGAGAATCCAGGAAGCCTCATGGGAGGGTCAAACCACTGGATACTTTGAGGCTGGGCCCCAGGGATTAAGGCCTGCAGGCTACTGAGATACAAGGTCACCTCCTCACCCTTAGGCCAGCGTGCCCAGGGAACACTATGCATACCATTGGTATCTCTGCCAGAACTTGAGGTGACCACAAGGTTTTTACTTTATAACCACATAGGCAGTAGTGTAGGTTCAATCTGCTATAACAAAATAGCATAGACTTGGGGGCCTTAAACAGCAAATATTTATTTCTGACATATTGTCTGTGTTTTCTATTTTGCTAATGGGAAAGACTGGCAATCTTGTGGGGCGGCTGGCGGAGCAGACAAAGAAGCATTCTAAATTGGCAAGAGCTGGTGGGGACAGGCCTGCCCATGGGCGTTAACTGGGGAGGCACGCCCGGAGCACTGCAGGTGCAAGCACACAGAGGGACACTCCAGAATTCCTCTTCTTCTATTCTCTTCACCTCTGGTGAAGCACAGGGGCTTGAAAATATTTTTAGCTACAGGTATTGCTGGTATTATGAAGCAAATGAAAAACAGCTAATTTCAATTCTCTTATAACCCTATTTTTGTTTTATTCTTGTTCTGGTATCACCCAGATATACCTTTGTTATATCCACCATGTTTATAAACCAATTATGGACTTATTTCTAAATTTTCTTTTGTATTTCTATGTGATACCTACCCTTCTGTGTTCTGTTAGTCTGAAGATTTCTGATTTCTAATTAACAATAGCCTTTCAACTGTTAGCTGTCTTTGAGTTCCCAAATGACACTTTCAGAGCCAAGATTAATTAAGTCAATGGCATTTGTTTCCAAAAAAAAGCCTGCAGAGAGTTCCCTGGGGAAATGTGTGGCATCTCTGGGGTCCCTGAAGTCACCAAAGCCCCAGTGCAGAGGATATAGAAGCAGCACCTGGTTGATGAATAATGTAGACATTTAAAAAACAAATAGCCTATTGCCAAAGGCCTTCCCAATAACCTCCTCCAGGGGCTGCCCTGACTCATCTTAGGTGCTGATACCTAAGTTCTCCCCTTCTCTTACAGCCAAAACACCCTTTTACTCATTCATTCCTTCAAGAGCCATCATTTACCAGCAGTGCTGAGGACTGGAGATATTTAAACTCGTCACACACGGTCCCTCCTTCAACGACAACCAGCCAGAGGGGGAGAAAAGCACATGAATATATGATTATAATACCATGTGCTAAGAACTGATAGCTATACTCAAGGCACAAGGGGAAAGCGGAAAGATCACTCCCCTCACACCCTCTCTGCCTGGCTTAAAGGAGCCCAGCACTGGCACTCAGGGGAGAGGAAGGTATTTGGGCTAAAGGGAGCATAGGGTTCATGGGCATCCTTTAGGTCCCTTTGATGATTTATAGACAAAGTATGTTTTGCTGTGGAGTGACAAATGTTTTTGTCCCTTGGAATTCATATATTGATATATGAATCCCCAACATGATGATATCAGCAGGTGGGGCCTACAGGAGGTGATTAAGTCATAAGGGCAGAGCCTCAAGAATGGGATTAGTGCCCTCACAAAAGAAACTCCATAAATCTCTCAACCCTCCCACTATGTGAGGACACAGCAAGATGAGGGCCTTATATGAACCAGGAAGCGGGCCCTTACCAGACATCAACACTGCCCATGCTTTGACCTTGGACTTCCTAGCCTCCAAAACTATGAGAAATACAGATTTTGCTGCTTAAGCTCCCACCCCAGCCTATACTCCTTTGTTCCAGCAGCCTGAACTAAGACAAGTGGCCTAGCACAATATAAAAGTCATCAATCGCCATATTGTTTCTATAAGAAAACTTACTGTAAGTTCCAAATTGCCTACCTTAGAAATGAATTTCTGGAACATGATCCATTTGTAAACTGCATTCCTCTTTAAGTAAGTGTGTGTGTTTTTTCATGTGTCTGTAAGACCCTTAGACACAGTTTAAAAGCCATGGCCTAAGCCTTACCCTTTAGGCATTTACCAGGGTTTCTTCCCTCTGTTTGACCAAACTCACTTTGAAGCCATGTATAAATAAGAAATTTCCCAATAGTATTGTTTTGTCTTCTGCTAAGACATACCGTCCACTAAGGCATGTTGCTCACTCTAACAAAAACAGTAAATCATAAATGTTTTCTGTCTTCTCAGGCATTCATCACCTTTTTTTTTTTTAACATGACGACAGTGGCTTTCATTGAGTGTTTACTATAGTCTAAGAGAGCCTGACTTCTCTCATTTTTCTTCACATCATCCTTGTTCATTAACTTCCTTTTAATCATTAAATCAGGTAAAAGTAGGAAAGCATTAACTTGTGGACAAAAGATAAGAAAAAAATCTCTAATTCTTGCTTTCACCAATTATAGACATTTGGCAAGTTATTTAATTCCTCTGTGCCTCAGTTTCCTTAGCTATAAAATGGGGATAATAATAGACTTACCTCATAGTTTTTTTTTTTTAATGAAGATTTAAAACCCCAAAACATATAAAGCTCTTTGAAAAATGCTGGTACATAAGAACTCTTCAGTAAAGGTATGACTATCATCATTATCATCATCACTATCATCAGTACAGGGTCAGAAGCAAAGTCGACATTGTCATTGCATTTTCTTCACCCTGGCCTCTCAGGTTGGCCATTATGGCACAGAAGGGCAGTCGGACACAGGTCCGTGCCCACTCCACAACGCTCAGCCCTGTGGGAGCCAGCCAGCTGCCATACCTTCAATACTTCATTGTGTGTGTTCTGCACGGCTATGTGGAGGGGGGCCATCATGTGGCCATTCTGGAGGTTTGGGTTGGCTCCTCTGCTCAGAAGAAACTTAACACTTTCCACCTGGTTTTTCTCTGTGGCCCAGTGCAGAGGGGTATTTCCATAGTCATCCATCACATTCAGCACTACAAATAAACCAAAATACCGGTTAGAGTTTGCTGGGACTGCATTCAACACCTACTGCGTGTCTGTTCACTTCAAGGCTCAGTGCCAAGTATTACTGTTGCAGGCTTCACCTTCTTTATGAAAAAATAAAAATATAGTTTCTGCTCTCAAGAAACACCTAATGGACACCTATAAGGGATGCACAGAAGTATGACATCAACGTCGTTAAACATAAGACTGGAACGAGAGTTTGAGCCCCTGATGTCACACTTGGTTTCCCCATATTTCTATAAATACAGTAGATTGTACTATTTACCCTGTGAGCTCAGTGTAAGGCTATGCCCTTTCATATTGCCGTGTCTTAGATCTCTTCTAAAACAGACATGACTGCTTTATCAACCATTTTAATTAGCAGCAGTACATTTTTATGTCTGAGGAGGGGGGAATGTACTCACCCATTAATATGATTTGGGACCATTTACAATATCTGGAACCATGCTGCAGCTATATTTCCCATTTCTCCCCTTCCCAACATGTATCATGTCACTATCTCTTTTCATTCATTCAAAGGCTTCATACTCAATCACACACATTTACACACATACTCACACACATCCCAGGACCATTATGTCTGATCTGGGCAAAATACTCCATTCAGCATTTCATTCAGTACCAAACTTAAATAAGAACTTAAAGTTACAAACTCACATTCACTAATTAAATAACTTAAATTTGGTTTTATCTCCATCACTTTTCAGGTACCACTTTTACAAAGGCCATTGAGGCCTCCTGATATAAGGGTTACTGTCATTTTCCTACTTGACCTCTTTGTGGCAACGGTTCCTTCTAATCCATCTACTCAGTGACTTCTCCCCTGGCCTGTGGACCCTTAATCTCTTCTCCATCATGCTCTTTACTATTCTTTGGCTGGCTATTCTTTTACCCTCTGACCCTTAATGTTGGTGTTCTACCCTCAGTCACCTCTGGGGGCAATTTCGTGGTCTCCTACAGGATTTTTGTGCATTTCCACAGACTCAGCTATTTCCTGTGCAACAATGGCCCTGTGGGGGTAGCTCCTTTCCTACCATATTTCTAGCCTACTAAAATACAAAGTATTATTCTACTAGTCTACTGAATGTTTTCAAGTGAATGTTCCTTGGGCCTTTCAAAATCAGTATGACTAAAACCAAATCCCCTCATACCAGCAGTCTTACTTTTCTTCTGTTTCCTTAAATGCCTTCTTTTCTGGATGGTTGTAATATTAGCTTAATTTCCTAACTTAGGGATCCCAAAGTCACTCAATTCCTTGCCACTTACTCCTCACATTTAGTGTTTTCTCCCTCCCTTTCTCTTTATTCTAACCTCAAAATTCTCATGGATTCTCATCTCCTTTACTACTGAAATAGTTATTTGGACTTCAAATTCCAATCCATCTTCTACCATACCAATACAATTATCTTAAATAATAAAGGTCTTATTTAAAGATCTAAGCTTAAATCTCTGTGATATCCCCCTTCCTTATTTGGCTACAGCTGAGTTTCTTAACCAAGGCTGGGTGCATGAGACTTGGGTAAGGGAGGATGTTATATCTTCTTGGAGTCTTACTCTTATCAACAATAGATAATTTAAGTATAGAATGACCTCAGTGGAAATACTATAGAAGAATACATAAAATAGGTATGAATTTTTCTGAACATCCTCGCTTGTTGTGCAGTGTTCAGATCTCTGAAGTATCTTTTGCAGTATTTCAGTGGAGAAATTTGAGGATCACTGGCCTATAGGGAAATGCACACTCCCAAGGGAGATATTTAGGCTCTTTATACTCTGGAACTAATCTGAATCCTTCAGAATCACTTCATAGTGCTCCTCCCAATGAATCTAATGGTATGATACATTTATGGAGCACTCATTGTAACATTCTGATACCTTCACATGAGGAGTCATTGAGGATCATTTCCATCAGCTCCACCTGACCTTCTTCTGCGGCATGGTGCAGAGGGGAGGTGTTCGCATCATATCTGCCTGATGCCTTTTGTTTCTTCATAAAGCGTTTTAATTTGCATTCACTTCCTTCAAAAACCACCTACAAGTATATGAAAAACTGTTACTTCAAACAACCATGTGTAAAACTTACTAATTATGTTAATCATTAAAAACTATTTACTGTGCTTATGATAAAGTAAATATTTTTTTGAAGAACAAACATGCTTACAGACAGAAGGTATAAGCAAATGCCTATGCATTGACAGGTACATTCAATAAATGATTTGATTTTTGATCATAAACCTATATATGTTGTAGAAATAAAGGCCTTGAGAAAAGTTTTGAAGTAAATATAAGGGATATGATCTGAAAAAATAATTATAGTGAAAATACAGGAATTTTGTTTGCCAGGAGAAAATGTAGTCTTGTAGAACATTTTGCTGTTGGTCCATGTGATGAATTAAATACATATATTTTTAACCCACTGTAAAGTGCTTGCTTTTGGAAAATGCAAAAACTATCCCTCACAAATGATCCAAGTACTTGATTTAATTCTACTTTTGACTGTGGTCACTTCCAATACACGATAATATATGTCTCAAAAGCCCTAATTCATGTTTCAAAATATTGTTATTTTAAAGATAAGCAGAACATTTCTCACTATTAAAATTGAAAGCTATCATAAATGAAGGGTTAAAGCACTTAATGTATTTTAATACAATTAAGAAAGAATTGAACATATCAGGATTCATTCAATAAATGTTAGATTGAAATAAATCTTTTAAAATTTTGAACTCTTGTTTTTACTCTTTCATCACAGAATCGTATCTGAGAAATCACTCTTTGATGATAGTCCCTTAGCTACATATGTGCCACCTACAACTACAAGATTCTGTATAAGCTACATAGAGCTTTAGTGAATACAGGATATAACAATGAGCATCTGACATTTCCAAATGTGTACATATTCAGTAATAAATTAAAAAATAAGCCTCTTACAGGAATGAGCTCTTTCTCAATGTTTTACCCTATCAAAGAAGCTGTTTATCTAAATCCATTTGCAATAAATTTACCACATGAATTATAAAATGATTATATTGCCCACCAGAGAGAGCAATTTATAAGTCTGTTTAGTGATGTGCTTTCAACACAAACCCAATTGAGAACAAGTACTAGGTTCAAATGCTTACAAGGTACTGCTGAATTCACAATGACAAAAAAGTGTGTAAAGTCTTTATTACAAGCTCATCAGACGTGTTTAAACAGCCTGAATTCAGTACATGATATGTTAAGTTAGGCTTTGAAAAGATGTATTAAAGAAAGTTCTGGAAGTAAGCCAAGTATGCCATTTAGATACATTATTTTATATTCATTCAATATAGTTTTCTTCTGTCACAGAGCCACTTCAGATTCTTTTGGATTTTGACATGTGACTAGATAGAGAACATAATATTCTAGATCAGTTTTAATGAAACTAATTCTAATCAAGCCCTTCAAAATGGAGATATCTAATATATGTACTTTAAGTTTACTTTAATGAAGTACATGTAAGTAGTAATGGGGCAAAAAGAAGGGAGACTATAACAAATGAAAGGTCAAATGCTAAAGTACTAAGCATTTGAAAGAAAGTCACTAGAAAAGGCTACTGGCACCAGTCAGATGGTTCTTTTTCCATATTTCTCATCTTGTAAGGTTTTTGCCATCCTTCAATTTTGTTAGTATTTCTGAGATAGTGTGTTCTCTGTAGAAAACAATGTATACCCTATCTTTTAAATCAGGAATCCTTAGAGTTCAGAACTCTCCAGTGGTATATTCAGTGATTTGAATTAGTCTCACCACTGAGATTTCTACAGAATGATCTGGAATTACTGTAAGTAATAAAATATATATCCCTCAATCTACAAGCATTACTGTGGCTTACAAAGGCCTTAAATATCTTAAATAACATAAATGACTCTAGTTAGGCAATAAAACTAAGGGCAAACAAAAACATGAAGAAAAACAAGTTTGAGACTTTGTGCCTCAGAATACTCAGCAACTATCCCTAGAAAACAAAACCACATTGATGAGCACAGGAAGTGTTTCTGGTGTTTTTCAAATTTTAAAAATTTCTTCCTGTCCCATTATATTAATTCCAAAGACACTATACTGGTGTTTCAAATCCACTCATGACCTCAGTTCTTTGGATTAAGCCCAAAGACCCTGACTAATATTAAGGAGGATGGGCAATGAACCATTTAATCTGGATGTACAAAAAGACTCATCTTGGTTTGCTGGTTTTATTGATTTACCACACATAACTGGCAATAGTGTGAATTCATACAACCTGTCTAGAGGGCCATTTGGCCAAAATTCAAGCTGTACATACCTCTTGACCATACATACACACCTAGAGATTTGCTAGGCTCTAATGTACATACATACTAAGGTACCAGCGGACAGACAAAGCCACATCTAGACCTACAGACGCACTCACTCATGTGAGTGATAGCAAAACAAAAACAAACGTAACTTAAGTGTCCTCCCGTGCAGGGCTGCTTAAATTATGATACAGTCACATAACGGAATACCATAAAGTTGCTAAAAAGCATGAGGTGCATCTCTAGGTGCTGACTTAAGAGTATTCTACAGTACAATTCGTGAGTAAATCAAAGCGGAAATCTCTGTGATTTCATACTGTGTAAATAAAACATAGTATGAACCGAACATTTTCCTCCTGGAGAACACATAAGGACCCGTTTACAGGTCCCACTGTGGAAAGGAATTTGGAGTGGGGTTTTGGAGCGACACTTTTAATAATATTTTAACGCTTAAAAAGAGTCCCTTCCTATTGCTAGCAAAGTGAGGAATCCGAGGGCGGGTGTTTTGAGCAGCCCACAGCCTCTATCTTGAGACCACAGAGAGTCAGGGCCTGAGCGGAGCGTGCGCTGTCTTGCCCTAAGAATGTTCCAGAACTGTAAGAGAAATCCAGCCCCATCCTAGCCCTTAGCACCTCCCGAAGACCACCTGCCCATCTTCAAAGTGCCCCCTCTTCCACCCATGCAGGATTGGCTGAATAAATTATGCTACGATCACAGTCCTTCTTGACGCCCCCACCCGTGAAGGAATTCGCCGGTCCTGCCAGCAGTTCCTTAACGCTTCCCTTGCGCGTGTTGGTTTCTGTTTCACCCCACAAGGCAAGGATGTTCCCCACCCCGACGCACCTCCCGCACAGCTGTTCGACTACCAGATGCAGCCATCCAGTTGTTTCCGGCTAAATAAAATCTATGAAACGTCTAGCGAAACAGCACACGTTCCAAAATTGTCCTCATTTTAGGTCCTTATTCCAAATTCAAAATGTAGTCCTCATTTGGCCTGATTGTGCCAAATGCCAAGAGTACTTGTTTTGGGTAGGTCTCGAGACCCCAGACTGCAGCTGCCCATCTTCAAGTGAAAACAAGTTGAACCAACAAGCACACCCACAGAAAGACAAAGCAGGCACAGAGTGGGCGCCTTACCGGCGCGGGGTCTCGGGCTCCCCACATTCTGGAAGATGTCTCCCGCGCGGCACTCACGCCCCGAGGCAAACTGCGTTCACCTCGCCGCGCGTCCCCCAATCCCGGGCTGCGCCTTCGGAAGCCTCGAGCCGAGGGGGCCCAAGTGAAGGAGAGCCGACCCCCGCCCGGACTTCGGAGCCCGTGCCGACCGCCCTCCGAGCGCCCCGAGTACCTTCAGCGAGTCCCTGGAGTCGTCCATGTCGTCCTCCACGCCCTGGTAGACCGCGCTCTGGGGCTCCTTCTCCCCAGGGCGCAGCATCCTCCTCAGGCTGCGCTTCATTGACACCACCCGCGACGCCACCTGCAGCAGCTGCTCCCCACGTGCGCCGGTGTCTGGGGCGGGAGAGCTCGGTGAGCGGGCGCGGGGGCGAGGCCAAGAGGGGGGGCGGGGAGCGGGCACCGGGGCCGGGCGCCGGGAGCGGGCGCGGGGGCCGGGGCCGGGGCCGAGGGAGGCGGACCGCGCGCCAGGTCTAACGCACCAGGCGGTGGAGGGCCTGCGCGCAGCTCGCCCTCCCGGAGGCGGAGAGGACTTCTGCAAGTTCTGCGGCTTAGGCTACTTTTAGCTCAGGAAGCGGGTGGGGCGCGGGGAGGAGGCAGGGCCGCAGCCCTGGTGTCCCCGCGCGGCGAGAGGCGGCCACGCCGTCCGTCCCCGGCTCGCCGCTTTCAGCGGAAGGCTCGGCCTGCTGAGCCGGCTGCAGCTGGAGCGGCGCGCACCCTGAGTCAGGGGGGCAGGTCCGAGTGAATCCAGGGAATCGAGCGTTTTATAATAAAACCCTAAGAACGCCCCACCGCGTTCTGCAGAGGGACAGCAGGGATGACGTTGGGGGTAGAGAATGAGGATAACTGGGTATATTGGGAAGATTTTATGATTTTTTTTTCCTTCTAAAAGGCTTTGGGCCGGTGTTTGCCATGTCCACTTCGTTTCAGAAGCCTCTTTGATTTGGAAACAAGATTTTTAGAATAACTCTTTACAGAAGAAAAGGGAGAAAGCCTAAATCCTAACACTGGTTTGAGCTATTAGGTAAAGTCCCTTTGAACCTCAGATTCCATTTCTTTGGATAACAATACTAATTCCCTCACGGTGTGGGGTTTCAGAGTGACTCATATAATGACTGTTAGGTAAAACGTAAGTCATATTGACTAGTGTCGGCTTGTTTAGCCTTAGCTTTGTTTGAAAGGCTTATCTTCATGGGCCTGAGCTGTATTTATTAATCAAAAGCATAGGTGTAAATTGTGGAGGGGTGTTGTCTCCTCTCAAATAGGAGGCTAGTGATTTTATGGACAGGTAATGGTGCCTCTGAAACTGTTGCCGCTATGTTTACCCTTCAAAATTTGAATGCAAAAAAAAACCAAACTTCTTTTCAAAGCAGATTACACTTTGTACAGGCCACAACTTAGCTTTGACAGTCTTTTGTTTGGACAATCTGTGTGCTCCTTTATGACCCTGGATTTTCATATTCACCTGGTAGTCCCTAGCACCTGACACAAGCAAGACCTGGCATAGAGCCCACACTAAATAAAGATTTGTGTGGCTAGGTCTACACTGGACTGAACTTAAGGACAGGTAGAGTGGCATGATGATACTGTGTAACTATACAAAGCCACCCCTTCATATTCCAATAGATATAGCAGGTTGCCATCAATTCTACACCTGGAATGGAATTCTTTGGAAGATAGTATTGAAGTTATCACTAATGATCCACCCCATAAATGTGACCTTTTGCAAGATTAGTGAAGTATATAACATTCAATTTAACCACCTGCAGTTTTTCACAAGCATCTATGTTCAGGGAGTACAGAACTGGGACCAGCTGGATACAAACCTTGCTATTATTTAGCTGAAGTAGGTAATGTATTTGGACAAACCGATATAGAAAAGAATAACTTTGAATCATTGCTGCCTGGCCTTTTACATACATTAGGCCCCCGTTTAAAAAAGGAAATGCATCATAAGAATATTAAGACTTTTAATTTGTTATCTTCAGTTCTTTTGATCAATTGCTCTTCTCCTAACACTTAGCTGAAAGGGGGTACTAAGACAAAGACAAGAGTCTGAAAGGGGTCATTTTGGAAGTTGTGCAGGGGGCATGTCAGGGTATAAACATCAGCTGACTGTGTGGCCTTGAGAGAGGAATGTGGGGGCGAGGGAACTCCAGCATTGGAGGGTGTGCTACAATGAGGGTCACAGGAGACCCCCATTCCCTTCTTTCAGAGTACTCCCTGGCTTCTGCTGCCAGGGCAGAATCTCTACAGGATGATACCTTCTGTTCTTGCTTGTTTCCTGTTTCCATCCCCCAAATCATGTACTCTTTTTAACTTGTCCCCTCCTGGGTTAACGCCAGAAAATAAATATGACTGGCTTTACAGAGTTGACTTGTTCCCACTTTCTGCTTATCAAAACAAAGAGACAGAAATCATTAATTTTTTTCTTTTGTCTTTTGTTGGACTTTGTCCATTTCAGGCACTTTTTAGTATGTGTCCCTCTAAGACTTCTCAGGAATTCCCATCAGTGTTTCTTCTTAATGGTTAAAATTATTTCCTACCCATCAAAAACATCCTTTTCAAAGGCAGGGCTTCTTTTATAAAGTTACTGTAAATCTTGGTTTCAAAATGCATAATGTAGAGAGGAACAAGATGGTATCTAGCCACTTACAATCAAGATCTTATTCCCTTGGACATTTAATTATTGATGGATAGTAATAAAATTCAGTATCTTATGACTATTTTAATTCCAAAATAGGGATACTCATTAGAGAAAATAAACTTTTATAGAAATGTCCAGAAGGTAACTTTTATCAAATTACTTTTTGATATTACACAGGACTTTACAAAAATGAAAAAAAAATAATAAAGAAGATTTTATTTAAGTTTTCAGGGAAAATAAAAACAGTTATGTATCAGCTCAGCAATTTTTCACAAAATTATTTATCAAGAATTATTTTGTTATCTTACTTAGCTAAAAAATTTATTTTATTTAAATAAATTTGTTTCATTTATTTGTTCAAAAATTAATTACAAAATGTTTACTTTTAAAAAAGCATCATTAATCCAAATATATTAGTAATAGTACATATAACTAAAGGTAAAACTGGTTACTTTACCTTAAGTGCCTTAACTCAATAATGTCATGAAAAGAGGCCCAATAAACCTACTAAGGAAAAGAAAATTTGTATTGCATCTTTTTGAAAAACATAAAATTCATCCATGGTAAGTGCGCAGTTTGATGATTTTTAGTTTACACAATTTTAAAGTTATCTCCATAATCTAGATTTTGAATACTTCTATCAGTTCAGAAAGTTCCGTCCTGCTCAAATGCAGTCAATCCCCTCTTTCATGCCCAGCCTTGAGCAAACTTCAGTCTGTGTCCTGTCTTTATAGTTTTGCATTTTCTAGAAATTTTAGATTAAAGGACTCACACTATGTAGTCTTTTGTATCTGGCTTCCTCTGTTAGCATAATGCACTTGAGACTCATCCATACTATAGTGTGTATCAATTGTTTCTTCTTTTTTGTGGCTCAGTAGTTTTCCATTATATGAATATACCTTATTTTCTTTATCCTTTTACTATTGATAGACATTTGGATTATTTCTAATTGTTGTCTATCATAAATAATGCTGCTCTGAACTTTTTCATATAAATCTTTTTATGGGCACATTTCATTTCATTTCTCTTGGTTAAATACCTAGGGTCATATGAAAGTATGTGTTTAGCTTTATATGTAACTGCCAAACTGTTTTCCAACTTGACTGTGCCATTTTATGTGCCCACCAGCACAGTGTGAGGATTACAGTTTTTCCATATTCTCCCTAAAAAACTTAGTGTCAGCAGTCTTTGTGATTATAGTCACCCTACTGCGTAGTTAGTGGTATCTCATTATGGTTTTAATAAACATTTCCCAATGGCTAATGATATTCTCCATGTTTTCATTTCTTATTAGCCATTCATATGACATTTTAATGAAATGTTTATTAAATTATTTTTTCTTCTTTTTAAATGAGTTGTCTTTTTACTATTGAGTTGTAACATTTCTTTATTCTAAATAAAAGTATTTTATTAGATTTGCAAATATTTTCTTAGCGTCTGTGACTTCTCTTTATTTTCTTAATGGCATCTTTTGAAAAAAAAGCAAACCTCTCAAATTTTGATAAAAGGCTAGTATGTTAATTTTTGTGGCCTGTGCTTTCGGTGTTACATATAGAAATTTTTGGCTAGGCGAAGACTGAGAAGATTCTCTTCAATATTTCCTACTAGGAAGTTTATGGTTTTAGTTCTTACATAGATCCATTCTGAGTTACTCTTTGTGTATATTGTGAGGTAGAGAGCTCTAAGTTCATTTTTATTGCATATGGATATCATTATCATTTGTTGAAAAAAGTTATACTCTCTTCATAGAACTGCCTTAAAACTATTGTCAAAAATCAACTGACCATAAATAAGAGTTTTTTTCTTGACTTCCTCTTCTATCCCATTGATTGATATGTCTGTGTTTAAGCCAATACTACATAGCCTTGATTTTGTAGCTTCATGGTAAATTTTGAAATCAAACAGTGTAAGTCTTCCAAATTTGTTTCTCATTTTCCAAATTGTTTTAGCTGTTCTAAGTCCTTTGCACTATAAATATTAAGATGATCTTGTCAATTTCCATGGAAAAACTTGCTAGAATTTTTTAAGAGTTGTATTAAGGCTTCTAATCCATAAACATGGTCTTTTTGTCCACTTACATAGCTCTTTCTTGATTTCTCTCAGCAGTTCTGCTATTTTATAGTTTTCCATATGCAGGCCATATATTTCTATGTATTTTAATAAGTTTTAAGGTATTTTGAATAGAATTGTTTTCTTAATTTCACTTTCAGATTCTCTGTTGTTAATATATAGAAATACAATGGAATTTTTGTATTGATCCTTTATCCTACAACCTTGTTAACCTTGCTTATTAAATTCAATAGTTTTTTTTCTGGATTCCTTAAAATATACACACATAAGGTCATGTTTATACTATAAAGACAGTTTGCTCCTTCCTTTCCAACTCTGTGTCTTTAACTTCTCTTTTCCCACTTCAGTGCACTGATTAGAAGCTCCAGGACATTGTTGAATAGGAGTCCAGAGAGTGAACATTCCTAATCTCAGAGGGAAAGCATTTACTTTTCACCATTAGGTATAATGTTAATAGTAGTATTTTCATAGTCACCTATTATCAGGTTAAGATACATATACTCCATTCCTACTTTGTTGAGAGTTTTTATCATGAATAGGCTGTTAAATTTTGTCTGATGCTCTCTTCAACTATTATGCTTTTTCTCATTTTATGCTATTTTTAGGTTTATTGATTTTCTAAGAGTTTTTTTGTTTTTATATGTTTTTTTATGTTGCTGGATTCACTTTGCTAATATTTCATTAAAGATTTTTGTGTTTATGCTCATGAAGAACATCGGTCTGTAGTTTTCTTTTTTTGTGATGTCTCTGTGTGACTTTTATATTAGTATAATAGTAGCCTCACTGAAGCAGTTGAGAAATGTTCCCTTCTATTTTCTCAAGTAGTTTGCGTAGTAACGGTATAATTTCTTTCTAAAATGTTTAATAAAATTCAACAGTGCAGCCCTGTGGACCTGTTTGGGTTTTTGTTTTCTTTCTGAGCATATATTTAATTACCAACTCACTTTTCTTATCTGTTTTAGAACTTTTTTTGATTTTGTATTTTTGCTTGAGTAAATTTTGTTA